CTTGGTGTGTTATCACTTTGTGAGGACTGTAAATGTCTAATCATTTTGTTTTGTACACCTGAATCTAATAATAAAAAAAGAAAAACAAAGAAAATCCACATCCTAGACTTCTGAGAAGCCAAATATCTCTCAAAAGCCCAACTCACTAACATCAATCAATCAATCAATCAATCAAAGAATCCTTTTTTGACTTAGGGCCAATGAATGAAAGGATAAATTTTACAATGTTAAACCTGGATCTATTGAGAAATTTAGAAAGAAAAACAGAGCTCCCAGATGCCTGGGACACAGTGGGCAACCAAAGAATATTTATTACATCATTGGGTAAAAACAAAGATTGGTGAAAGATGCTAAGAAGTCCAAGCACATCCTTTGCACACTCACGCTTTCCACTCCACGAGACTCCTGTCACTCTTGCACCCTCTACTGGGGAGTCCACAGCAGAGCGATGACTGATGAAAACCTCCTTTTAAGGCTTTCACACAGCTGGTCCCCCACGGTCATATCTCAGGCATCCAAATTCTCTTTTCCTCCTTTTCTACCAAAAAATAGCAAATACAATAAAAATGATAACACACACTCATAAAAGAAGAAACAAAGAAAATAATGACAGTGTTTCTCCCATTCCTACTTCTAGATCCCACAAATATTGGGAAAGAAGTTAATTTTATAGCTTTAAACTAACTCGTGTTACAATGTAAATGAACTTTCTCAGGACTGTGTCTTTATTTTAGTAAATGTTTTTGTAATCTATGTATTCTGGTTTGGTTACAATCATCCTGTAGTGAGATACCATGTTTATAGTTTAAGTCTTCAAATTATGATGTGCTTAATAAGTATTTGCTGCTGGCTAGAAAGCTTCACTGTAAGGGAAATATACCTTTATAATAATTTTCTCAGAAAGTCCTATTTTAAAAGTGAAAACACCCACATTTCTCATTCATTTGCAATCATGAGCTTACCTGTCACCTCTTCAATGAAACAAAAATTATTAATAAAATTAAGTATAGTAATACCATGTAGCTCCTTTAATGAATGATGATTTGTAAAAAGTTACTGGATAATTTGTCTAGATTTTTCTCTATTTTTAAAACTGCATTTACATTTTAAATACATTTATTTTGGTTCAAATTGCCAATTTTTATTTCACATGAAAATTTTATTCTTCCACAGTTTCTTAGGCTGCTGTACTCTGATTTAAGTGTTTGTAATATTGGGGTTAATAAATCATTTTAAAAATAGTGTGAGGAACAGTTCACTGTGAAGATAACTTTCCATTGCCAAAAAATCATTAAACTTTTAATTTTCTATTGCAGAACACTTTGTGGGAATAATAATTTATTTTGACGTATGTTGATTTTTTTAATTTAGTTTTCTTTGAATTTTCTCTGAAAACCAAAGTAAAAGTTTTTTCATTATGTTTTTTCTTGGTAACTGTTGCTAGGATTCTGTTTTGTACGTTTATATTTTGTTGCTGATTGCCAGTCTTTTAATGTCTTTCTAATTCTCCTCATATATGCTGTTTCTGTCTAGCTATGATTCCTCTTACTGCTGAGCAGATTAGCTAAAGGCATGAAATAACATTTTAAAGTAACAGTTGAGCAGTACTTTGGAACAACAACAAAATTTCAATTATGGTTCAGGACTTCCTACCAACTCCATTCAGTGAGACAGCACAGGTCAAATGGGCAGAGAGTGCTAGAAAATACATAGGCCTGGCATCCTATCAGGGTCTGTCTAATAAGATGTTTCGAAATGGAAGGCAGCTTATGCCATGACTAATTCAAAGACCTCTGCAAACTTGGATTGACATCAGGTCTTTTTATTCCCTGAACTAATCAAAGAATCTGTGTAAACCAGCGTCTCCTGTTGAGTGCCAGGCCAGGCAAGGAACTGACCCACATGAGGTCAACTGCACCCTCATCTCTTAGGCCATTTCATTCTGTTCAACCTATTGTCTCTTATGAATAGATAAAATTCGATTTCTGAAAATAATTTTGAGACTAGATATTTGGTTTAATATTATGCTATATCATATCCTATTCAATTACATTAAAATTCTAAAGATGTGCACAAAAGGGTGAGATGATTTTGCCTTTAGCCAGATAAAAGATCAAATTTCAACAGTACCTGAGTAACCAATTACTACATGCTGTGATTGTGAAATTTTAGCATTAAATATCCATTCCTCTGGAGAAACTGGATAGGCTACAGACATTTTCTTCTACCATACAGAGGGCTCTCGTTATAGCTATGAGCAGTGTTATTTGAATTATTATGTGATGCAACTTCTAGTTGAAGTTTTGCCTGTAAAAATAAAAGGAAGAACTGACTCTGGGAGGTGAACACGCAATGTGATATATACATGATGCATTACAGCATTTTACACCTGAAACCTATGTAACTTTACTAACAACTGTCACCCCAATAAACTTTAAAAAAGAGGGGTATAGGTAGAATGCAAAGAAAGAAAAGCCTAGGACAGTCCCCTGAAGATTTCTGGTCCCCGTAGAGATACTGGGAATGTCCTCCCTATTCTGGCAACATCACGAGACTTCAGCCCTTTCCCCCTTGGTCCAGATGTCTTGAGCCTTATTTTTACTTGAGTAATGCTGTATTCCAACTTGACTTTATGAAAGAATAATGACATATCCAATATCTTTTAAGCTTAAGAGCCAACATTTATATTCTTTATGTAATATCTAATATTCTTTTTTAAAATTTTTTCTAAATTTATTGGGGTGACATTGGTTAGTAAAATCATATAGGTTGCAAGTGCACAATTCTGTAATACATCATCTATGTATTGCATTGTGTGTGGTGAACACACAATCTAATATTCTTTTTTTATTGAGGTTACATTGGTTTATAATATTATGTAAGTTTCAGGTTCTCAGCGTTATAATCCAATGCCTGTATACACTACATTGTGCTCACCACCAAAAGTCTAGTTTCCATTCGTCACCATACGATTGACCCCCTTTACCCATTTCACATTTCCTCCACTTCTTTTCCTCTCTGCTGACCACCAATCTGTCATCAGCCTCTGTGAGTTTTTTTGTTGTTATTTTGTTTGTTCATTTGTGTTTGTTTTTATATTCCACATGCGAGTGAAATCATATGCTATTTTTCATTTTCTGTCTGTCTCTTTTCACTTAACATAATAGCCTCAAGGTCCATTCATGTTGTCACAAATGCCAGGATTTTACAATTTTTATGGCTGGGTAGTATTTCATTGTGTGTATATGCCACTTCTTTATCCATTCATTAATCAAAGGACGCTTAGGTTTTTTCCATATGTTCGCTATTATAAATAATGCTGCAGTGAGCATAGAGGTGCATATATATTTTCAAATTAGTGTTTTGATTTCTTTGGATAAATACCCAGGAGTGCAATTACTGGATCATATGGTAGTTCTGTGTTGAATTTTTGGAGGAACCTCCATACTGTTTTCCGTAGTGGGTGTGCCAATTTACATTCCCACCAGCAGTGTGCGAGGGTTCCCTTTTCTCCACATTCCTCCTCCACACTTGTTTCTTGTCTTGTTGATGATAGCCATTCTAACAGGTGCGAGGTGACATCTCATTGTGGTTTTAATTTGCATTTCCTTGGAAAATTCGTGATGTCTAGCATCTTTTCATGTACTTGTGGGCCATTTCTATGTCTGCTTTGGAAAAATATTCAGATTCTCTGCTCATTTTTCAATGAGGTTGTTCGTTTTTGTTTTTGTGGTTTTTTTTATGTTGAGTTGTATGCTTTCTTTATACATTTCGGATATTAATCTCTCATCAGACATATAACACTTACAAATAGATCCTCTCATTTGGTAGGTTGCCTTTTTTATTTGTTGATGGTCTCCTTTGCTGTGCGGGAGCTTTTTAGTTTGTTACAGCCCCATGTGTTTGTTTTTATTTTGTTTCCCTTGCTGTTGGAGTCAAATCCTCCAAAACACCATGAAGACTGATGCCATAGAGCTTATTGCCTGTTTTCTTCTAAGCATTTTATGATTTCAGGTTTTATGTTGAAGCTTTTAATCCATTTTGAGTTCTTTTTGTGTATGGTCTAATGCTCTTATAAAAAGTAGGATCACTCTTAAACCCCAATCATGGTCCGAGGGAAGGATAATTCCATTTTACCAGATAATCATGCCTATATATTGTATAATAAGAAAAAATGCTTGAAATGATGCATAACTTAAGGAGTTCTAAAAAAGTTGCCTGTCCCATTCCTTACCTTTCTGATTACTCTTTTAAAGGTGAACAGACCCTTGACTGGAGACTCTGCAGTCTGTTCACCATGCTATTTATACTTGAAGAGTGTAAAGTTATTCTAATCAGACTTATAGTAACAATCAAGATTAATCGCAGCTATGTTAGGATTACTGATTATTTGTTCTACTTCAGCAGCACCACAAATCCAATTGTACAAGCAATTTCCATAATCCAAATTGTGAAAGAAAGGAGGGGGAGAAAAAGACCATGCAAAACTGGTTGAAATAGTATTCCAGTAAACCCTTAAGCAGATGGTTATCGAAAATTCCCTTTTTGAAACGGAGCTGATTCTGAACAGACTGCGTCTGTGTCTCATTGGTGGAAGTGGATTATCTGTCTCGAATTGGAGTGTGATGACGATGACCCTATTCTGAGTACACCAAATCTCTTGGACTATATAATGAGATCAGGAGGAACATTCGGCCTGAGAACCACAGATTGCATCAGCTGAGATGATTTCACTAATGCTTTTTTCCAGCCTCTTTCCTCGATGTACATAATATTTTGGTTTTGGCCGGCAGAGATTTCTGAGCCTGTAGTTCTGTGTGCTAATTCTTTTTTTCCTTATTCTGTATTTTTCTAAGTAGAGCTGAATGAGTGGCCGGAAGCTGCGAAACCTGTCTTACAAAAAGGTGATGGTGGAAGAGTCTAGACGATTTACTTTGCAGCAGGACTGCAGAAAAATAATGAGGAAACATTTAACTGAGTCATTCTTATTGCTTCCTTAGGCCGTGAGGAGGCAAAAGTTGCTTGAACAGAGTATCCAGTCTGCCCAGGAGATCGAAAAATCCTTACACTTAATTCAGGAGTCCCTTTCATCCATTGACAAGCAGTTGGCAGCTTATATTGCTGACAAAGTGGACGCGGCTCAAATGCCTCAGGAAGCCCAGGCAAGTAGAACTGGGAATGAGCTTCTGTTCATTTTCTGTTGTTGTTGTTGTTATCTGAACAAGACATTACTGAATTCCTAACTTAAAACTATATTTAATTAGTTGTGCAGGGGGTTATCTGATGGACTGATTTTACCATTTGGAGGTAAGAGGAGAAACAGATCTAGATTAGCACTCTCAGATTTATTTTTGAAAGTACGGAATGGACAAATTTGAAAAAGAGACACTCAAAGACAGGGGTACTGTCACCCTGACGCCTGTTATTTATCAATATTTTCAAGCTAGTATCCTTCTGCCAGAGGGAAGACATAGGAATGTAAATTGTAATGAAACTATTTCTAGTGGTACTATTAAAAATGCAGTCTCAGCCATTTTATTTAAATCAACTCATCTTTGGAATCTTGGCATCACAAGTCGTATGATCTCTATATTTTTCTACATTTAATTTGTTGCAAGTAGTTAATCACAAGAAATTCGAGACGCAAATTTGCATTTTATTACTAATAATCACACCATATATGCTCACATGCAGATCACGTTATAGGCAGGGTTTAGAATTCAACTCTATTCAATCCGAATTATAAAATGTGTTAAGCCAGTTATTTTAGAACAAGAGTTAAAATAGTGGTGAAAGGAAATCTAAGTTGACTTTTTACTGAGTGAATTTAGGCTATGTCTAAATTAATTTGTATCTTGGGAAGTATTTTCAAAATTCTGTATTTCTGCATTTAAATAACATTTAAATGTACATAAAGTATCATAGGTATTATTTTTTTAAATGTCTTTAGGATTTTCTGACAGTAAGGTAATACTGTTCCTTTCCCCATCGTATGTGTGTATTATGAACTCCATAACTAAGGATAACTCAGACCAATATACTGTGATGTGAGGAGCCTTAGAAGCTCATCTCCCCATCCCAAAGGCCCTCTCCCCACTAACTGCATAAAATATTGGATTTACAGGTCATGGTTATAGTGCAATTTCCGTACAGTGAATCACCATTAAATTTGTGCCCAGAGCGTTGGTGGACGTAAGAGCATGGGCTAGTTTACCATACTAAGTTTGGCCAAGAAACTCCCTGAGATTATGGGGCAGCATACAGGTAATTTCGATAGGCTTAAAAAGTCCAGAGCAGAGGGTTCCTCGTTGACCATTGTCATCGGGGATGAAGAAAGTGCAGTTTAGGGGAAATCTAGTAGTTTCTCACTGGGACAACAAATGTAAATGCTCTCTTAAATGAGGGATAATAGCAAACACACTTGAGGATTTTAACCTCGCCAGTATATGTGTTTCTTCAAACTTACAAAAGTCTAGTCAACTTCTGTGTCATGAACTTTTCGTAAGATTTCCCAATTTGAGTGATATAAATAATGTTATTGGCAGGCTTTAGAAAAAAAGCATGACAGGACTGAGAAATTGTTAGTCCGCTGAGAAAACCTACGTAATTATAAACTAAAGGAAGAATAAAACGGCTTCTTTTTTTTTTTTACCTAATGACGTGAATTTGGAGGAATGTTTGATTAAAGACTGATCATAACTTTCTGCATGGGATATAAAGAAAATTTCGAACAGTATACATATTAAATGTTAACATTAGCAATTTGTACTCTAAAATATATAAAAGTTACTTTTTGAGAACTGTAGAATAAAGCTGTGAGTAGCATATTTGAGATAAGCGAAAGTATAATTTTGTCTTAGGAAAAAATGGGAGCTTTTAGAGAAAAAAAATCTTGTTTAGTTGAAAAGGTTATAGTATGGGACCCTGAGTGTTTTCTTTCATTTAGGTATGAATGCAGGATTCTGTAAACATGAATATAACATACTAGTTTATAGTAACATAATATAAAGTATTTTGTTTGGTTTTCTTAAATAAAAAACTATAGCAAAAGTATTATTCACTATGGCAGTTTAAAATACTTGCAAATTACAGCATACAGGTAAATTAAGCAATTTCAAATCTACTTGAAAAAAGAGATTTTCGAGCACTAACAAGCTGAAATCCATTTTCTGTGCATTTCTGGTTGCACCTGTATTTTCAAGAGAGTTCTTGGCTTTGAACTCCCCAAATGGCAATATACTGGAAAGTGCAAACTACCCGAAAGCTATCAAAACATTCTTGTCCACAATTTTATTTTATGATGACAGCAAGTGACTTGTTTCTGGAACAGTTATCAAGTACTCAGATTTCCTTCAAGGACTTTTCCTGAAGCTCGATTTTAAACTCTTTTGTAAGAAACAAGTAGAGAGTAAAGCGGTTGTTTGTGAATTAAGAACTTAAACTTAAGCACGGTGTGTCAGACAAAGAACCCACAGAGAATACCACCAAAATGACATCTTTCTAAGTATGAATCATGGGATCTAATTGTCATGCTTCGTATTAATTAAAAAAAATGTGTTTCTTCCACTTTACATAAAAGTTCATTGCTAATTAAAAGATTAGCAGGCTTAGCTTTCCCTTTTCAGAAATTGAGAACTGGCTTTAATACATCACTGAGAACAAGGCAAAATGAATGGCATTACCGTATTTGACCATCTTAAATATGTGCTCAGATTTCCTGTCACAAACTGGCCACATATATTTGTGGATGTCTGACTCCACCGTGTGGCGTATTGGCAGTTTTGCTACTGAAGTGAAATCTGTTAATAGTGCCTTTTTCTGTCTTTTAAGATTGTCTGAAATTCTCAGATGTAAATAATTCTCAATATTAACAAAACGTATGCAATGCATAAAACTTTCTGACAGGTATGCTCTTATTATATATAAAAGTCGATGGAGATCAAAATACTTCCTTGCATTATATTTGCTTTTATAATTCTAGGGCAGGAATGAGCTTCCCACTGCTTCAGAGTGTTAATTGGTCAGTTATCTGCCATGATTAGAAAACGGTGTCTTTTGACTCATTTTACTGTGTTTTATTTAGTGACATAAGCTTGCAGGAGTACAGCTTAGCTTGTAAGGCAATAAAACTACATACTGCAAGAATATCAGAGCATATATTGACCTTAGTATTTTATTTCAAAAAGGGAGAAGGTGATGGCAGAAGAGTAAAAAGGGGATCATATATATGGTGATGGAAGAAGAACTGACTCTGGGTGGTGAACACACAAGCACTATATAGATGATGTATTATAAAAATGTACACTTGTAACCCATATAATTTTAGTAACCATTGTCATCCCAATACATAAAAAGAAAAAACAAACACTTAACCAAACCGAAATCTTAGATTGTATGACCACACTATCAACTACCCATTGTCAGCCCATTTAAAGAGAGATTTTTAATTAAAGTACAAAATCAAAATGGCATCTTATTGATTCAAATAGAGTAAAGCAAATGGGGAAAACTCTTCTAGTACAGAAATTTATCTTCTAGGTATAGAAATCAGAAACTTAAGAACTATTTCAAAGATAGTAGTATGATTAAAATATAAAAACTGTGAGTATTGTTTCGAAACAGTGTTACAGAATAAAATTATCAAATTGTATAAATGCAAAGAAACACACGGCATGAATATAGTTTACTCCTTCATTTTCCTGAAGAACATACTAAACAATAGAGATTTAGTTTTAGCACCCACGGTCTGGAAGCAAAAATCCATGTACCCAGGCTGTATGTATCCCAGGCCAACACTGTCAGAATCTCTGGGTGGACTCAGTCATTGGAATTTTTGGAAACTCTCCACAGTTATTCTAACATGTAGCCAAGGTTGAGAACAACTTTGGATAGTGTACTACTGGCAATGGCTGAATTGATTTAGTCTTCTTTTTTTTCACATCATACTTCTTACCACTCTTTGATAAAGATTCTCAACTATGACTGTGTCAAGATTTCAACAAGAGGGAGTCCCGATAGAAATCAAACTACTGGTGACTTTCTCTCCTATTTTGATGTTCCCCTTACTTTTATGACAAATGGGTGAAGGTAGAAAGCATAGCTGGCAACTCCTGCATGAACAAATTAATTTGGACAAACAGAATTTTCAAGATGGGTCTTTGAAGATAAACTCGGCTTGGTTTTCTTGTTCCCCCCCCCAATTCCACATATATTAATGTCCAATTAGCTTGGATGTGCCTCGAAATCATTGTAGGAGCTGTTGTAACTATGTCTAAATAGCTACTTAAATGTCTGTAGTTCTTACAGTTACAAAGATCCTTCAATCTGCACTTTTTTCCTTTTCTAGTAATTTCATATTTTGAACCTCCGATATGTAAGAGCAATCCCACATGGGTACTTGTTGAAATGCTCCAGATCGCTATGCGTTGATGATGTACATTTTATAGAGGACACATGATCCTGTTACTTAGATTACCAGGAGAAGGGGTGGGGCCGCCTAGTGGTGATTGCAGTAGCTACACTCTTCAGTTTCTTTTGTCTGGCAGATTCCTGATCCCATCTTTTTGCAATCTCATGTCCCACATAGTCGATTTATGTGTCTGAGCAAAGCAAAAAAATCGAACAATTTAGGAAACAAGCAAATTCTCATCGAAGGAGAGGATCTCCTAATCAAGATAGAAAAGTCCTGTATTTCACTCAACAAACTAGGAATTGGGGGTATTCCAGGTCCACTGCAGATCAGATTTCTTCCTTCCATCTTTTTTTCCTGCCATTGATAATGTGGCCAAAACTGAGCATCCGTTAATAGAAAAGAGGGCTCTTCTTTTGACTAAAGAAAAGCAGTTAATTTAAGCTGATTGCATAAGCCGTACATCAAAGTAATTCATAATGGCGGTCTTCCTTGTGTTCATTGAAGCTAAATCTTCTAACTCGCTTTAAATATATTTGACCATATTTAAAGGTATGCATTTCAAACTATCTAAATCATTGGCCTAAAAAGACTCAAATGCAGATTTTGGTCTATCAGACAAAGCTTATGATTTCATTATGGAATAAAAAAGACTTTTATAGTGTAAATAGGCACATTTGATTGCCAAATGACTCAGAACAATCTAACTTTACGGCCTACTTCACTGATTTATGAATTAGACAGTATAAACCC